GAGCACCTTCGGACCAGCATCCCCGCACTCCGCCCCCTAGCCCGAAGTAGTTGTGACACGGTAGCGCTGCCAACGATCAAGCTCGCATCCACCCGCCACGTGTGTCGCCGACCCGGTCACGTTTTGATCTTTGCCTGGCCGCGGCACCGAGCAAGCCTCGAAAATCTCACGATCACCGGCGTGTCACGGCTGAAAAGGATCGATCGCCGTTTTAACACCTTCCATCTCATACATCATCGAACATGTACCCACATCACCACGCGGCGCGCTCGTTCCTCGATCGCCTCGAGATCGTTCCGATCGGGGGAAGCGGCCGTCCATCGCTTCATCGATCCCGGTTACTCGCGCCATCGATCATCGGACCGAGCGGTCGGAGGACTTTCCATTCAGACTTTCTTCGTCATCATTATCATCATCACCATCTTCATCACCATCACCATCATCATCATCTTCATCATCTCTCTCTCCGGCATCATCGAGAACATCGCCGATCCCTCGTTTCGTCGGAATCGCGCGCACCGTGCTAGCTCGCCGCAGTTCGATCGTCGTTGACGTTACGTAGAACCGTATCCTCGAATGCGAACGAGCGCTCTCGCTCCCTTCAAGCATGATGCATGCGTCCGGGACACGGACCACGTAGACCAGACACGTTTTTCGTTTCACACACGTTCGTAGAACCACTGTTCGAGGCTCGTCCGCGTGAAAGTGACGGCTACCCGCTTGTATCCGCTCGGTCGCGTCGAATCGAAGGTCGAGGTGTTTCGGACCGGTGTTTTATCGGTTTCGAGTGGAACGGATATGGAGAATTGGGACAGTGTTATATTCGTTGCTAGATGGAACTCTGAGAATCGACATATCGATTCTGTAACTGTCATTCTTCGGTTCTTTGTTTCGATTCTGCGTTCACCGTTCCGAGAACCGAAACCTGTAACATAACTGTCTCCGATCCTCGGAGAGAAATGAGACGCGATTATTCGACGCGACTCTCGCAAGACTCACTTTCATAGACGACGAACCAATCGGAGAGTCTCTCGGTTTCTGGCTCTACCCGGCAGCAATCGCTGCCAGAGACACGGAGCTTCGCCGGGCTTCCTTGGCGTCGTCACGTTCACCTGTACAAAACCTTTAAGCTAACAATGATACTGTACCTCTGTATTTGTATACAGGTCATTTTGTATGGGACCCTTGACCTGTTAACCGGGAAATTCTTCTATCAGAGATGTACAATTTTCATTAAATACTTTAATGAGAAAATTTGAAGACACTGCCGATCATTGCATTCGCTACACGCGGATTTTCGAATTAAGAATTGTTAGAACATTTTTTCAATTTCGCCAGGGGAATTGTTAAAATAGCTTGGAATTGCTGATAAAATCGGTTGGAGTGCCAAAAGTTAACATTATTATATCTAAGTCATTTAGCCTTCCTACATATAGGTATAAATTAAATTGACAAAAGCAAACATTGATAGAGAAATTTGCAAACTTTCACACGCGGTTAAAATCATTTTTTTGTGAATGTGGTCGAGCCAAAATGTAGACTCGATCCACGTTCCAGCTTCCGCGTGAAATTGATCTCTGACTTGCAACCGGTCGAATATTTCAAGCTGCGCCGGATATTTCGAGCTGGTTTCGAGCGACTCGGCATGTATATTTCATTGGGGTCGTTATATCAGCCGGTAGCTCATTTTAGTACGCTTTAAGAATGCTTGTATAATTAACTAGCGGCCGCTACGGGGTGAGGCGGCTAGAACTGGTCCGCTGGGTAACTTCGCTGGCTCTTTAACAAGGATATAAACGCCACGAATCGCCAGGAGCAGTGGAGTCATCCTGATGGTTTGCTTTGATTCGTTCGTCGAAGTGTCAATTAACAGAAAAATATACATCAGTAATAATATTGTAGGCATAACTAGATAGAACGGTCTCCTCGAATAATCGAGAAATGCGATTAGAGAAGAGGATCAATGCTGAAAATTGTATTCGAGTAACGGAAGTAACTTAAATTCAGCATCATGACTAGGTAATCAGTTGAATAAAACCTTATTCGAGTAATTATCTATTCACTATTCAAAGTATTCGAATTGGCGATACGCTTATCATGAAGTTTCAATGGAAGTTTCAACGAAAAGTGAAAAATCATCAATGACTAGGTAATCAGTTGAATAAAACCTTATTCGAGTAATTATCTATTTACTATTCAAAGTATTCGAATTGGCGATACGCTTATCATGAAACGTTTCAATGAAAGTTTCAACGAAAAGATAAAAATCATCAATGACTAGGTAATCAGTTGAATAAAACTGTATTCGAGTAATTATCTATTCACTATTCAAAGTATTCGAATTGGCGATACGCTTATCATGAAGTTTCAATGGAAGTTTCAACGAAAAGTTGAAAAGTACAAAATCATCAATGACTAGGTAATCAGTTCAATAAAACCTTATTCGAGTAATTATCTACTCACTATTCAAAGTATTCGAATTGGCGATACGCTTATCATGAAGTTTCAACGGAAGTTTCAACGAAAAGTTTCAAGTGAAAAATTCCAAGTTAGAAGTGAGCAAAGTATTCCATCGCCCGGTTAACAGGTCTGAACCAGGTCCGTGTCGAAGTCAATACCACCGAAACACATCACAAAGTACAAACACGATAGAGCATAGTAGCGAAGCATATATTCTGTGTAGTCACGTAGAAGTTGAAAAGTGAAGTTTCTCTCCCACGCCGAGTGTATCTTTCCACGGTAGAGTAACGATTAGAGCGTAGCAGCCGCCGTCACGTTCGTCGACGCGAACAGGGGAACGAAGCCGAACCGGACGCGTCCCGAAACGATTCGCCGGTCGCGCGATAACAAGGAATCCCGGCGTTAGAGTCGGAAACCAGCGACTGTCTGCTATCTCGTCTTCTCTATACCGTAGCCATTTAGAAGCGAATCAAACGAGGCGCGATCGCAGAGAGTTCACTCGGCGAGCAGAACGTCCGCGTCAGACTCGCGTTACATTGCCGACCGGTTAGCGACTAAGCGTACGTCGGCCACCATTTTTCACGAGCGCGCAGCAGCCTTTTCAAATTACTCACGAATCGCAGACGTTTCGAACGATAACGGTCTGGCAGCGACAGTTCTTCAATCCGATTATAAAGAGTAACGTAAACGAAGGCGTAGATCCGAGAAGACGTCGCCAAGGAGAAATAGGGGATCCGTTGGTTGGTGCGTTAAGAATTTCGACGTTCGTCGCGTTCGTTCGTGTTTGTTCGTGTCTGTTCTCGCTCGACGCGTCTCGCGCCGTTGGTTTACGAGGTTCGAGCGACCATCAAAGAGGATATCGCCAACCGGAGGGTGACTCTTATGTAACCAATCGCTAACCGATGGTAGTTCCTCCACGATCGCGGAGCGAGACGTGTCGGTTTCCGACGAGAACCGTCGCCGGCCCCCATCGTTTCACCCTCGATCACGATCTCACCCGGCCGCCGGCGCAATCCGCTCGATCCGACGATAGTTTAGAGTGCCGCATGCGAGTCTCCGAGAAGTCTAGACCTGTGTTTATGCATGCTGCATGCCACGCAGACAACTTCGTAATCGTAACTCGACGCATCCTCTCATCATCTAGCTGTCTGTCGTCTCGTTGATCGATTTCCCATATATAAGGTAAAAGATTATTCAAAAGAAAAGATGAAACAAGGAACGAACATCACTCGGGTACATCGCCATCGTTCGAGCGCGAGTCTCGCGGCTGGCTGCCGGCCTGTCGAGCTCCTCGCGATCGGAACGGGGATCGTTCGGTTCACCAAAATGTCTATCCTCGATCAAATTTAATTATTTTTACAAAATTAGTCTAATTCTTCGGTTCTACAAGAATATTATTTAACTTCTATTGTCTTATAATCTATTACATTTATTCCATTCCATTGTATTGATCTATATTCTATTATCTATTGTGCATATATTGATTAGAATAGAAAGGAGAACCGAACATCCCCAAAATTTCAACATCCGCATAGTCATGTAAGGACACCATCATTAGCACTTAAGCTAGAGCTAAGTTAGCGATAAGTCAGCAATGGATGGCACTCCCCAACTCCGCCGAGCCCGTTCGGTTCCCCGTTCCGACCGGAAACCGAACGACGGCCGAAAATGAAACGCGGCCCGCGGTCGTTAATAACGCGGCCGGTCCGAGCGAACGGCCGGAATAAATTTTTACGTGACCGGAATTAAAGGGCCGGGATAAATCAAGCAACGGGGAAAGCTGATCACGTCCGACCGTGGTAAATGAAGCTCCACCCCGCGACCACCTTTCATCGATCGAGCTGTACGACGTTAAATGTAACGCGGCGGTAATAATAATGTCCGTCTGCCTCGGTGGAATCCCGAAAATCGTTTCACCCCTTCGATTAATTAGACTGGACCGTTTCGAGGTGCTTTCCGGAAAGTGAATCTCTTCGGTGATAGGTGATAAGAGTGAAACCGATGTTAATCCGTAGAAATCATTCTTCGACTACTCGCTAGACTACAGTTAGATGATTTTCAATTTCGTTAATCGGTTGAGTAGAAATAGCGAAATTATCGGTAGAAGTAATGAACATTTCCGAATAGAAATAATGAAGATTTATCGGTAGTAATGAAAGTTAATGGAACCTGTCGAACTGACTTAGTAACTCGTATTATATTATACAGTGTAACGTTTAATCTACAATGTACATAGAAGGAAATGTAATCGATCTCTTCCAGTAATCGTAATCGTATTGCACCGCGATAGATATGAATGTTAAATTCGTAGTAACATCGCGTAGAGAAAACCGCGAATTGTACGCGTAACAGGTTTAAATATCGCATTCGAGATAACTTCGAGACGTGGTCAGCTGGTTATTAAAACGCATCGATCTCCGAGCGTAACGTTTTTACGACGAGGAGATTAACGATTAGATTGATTGGCGCGCGGGGTGGCGGAGTTGGGCGGCCTTCGTGGTGAGCGAAGCATTATTAAATGTGGTGCCCCAATATTCTAGCTTTCTGAGGAGGTAAGGATATTCTTCACCCGACAAAGAAGCACTTCCAAGCCACCACCTATCCTTCGTTTTCCATCTACGTGATTACCGTATTATGTAACGGAGTGTTTCGATGTTCCGTAGTAACACTTTTTCTTACATACACACACACACTCTCTCTCTTTCTCTTTCTCTCTC